AGTGCAAAGCGTGCGTGTTCCGGCCATCGAACGATCAATTAATTGTTGTCAAGACGGAACGAACGCCGCGATTGTTGCCGATTCCTGGTCGCCACACCGTGGGGATGGGCGGGATTTAAAATACAAGTATTTGAAACACGCATTAAAAATACTTTGAGTATTTTGTATTTCGTATTTAATTACATATTGGAGAATGCTTTTTACAACTGTATTTAAATACTCGAACATTGAGTATTTCTAGGGCTGCAACATTGACGGCGTCTTTTGTCTCCGCCGCTGTGCAGGGGTTCTACAGCTTCCAACAGAGGGCACATTTTCGAAAGGGGTCTACGGACCTTTCCGGAAAGGGGCTTCGACAGCCGGTGCCATTTTTAGCGTTCGTTAGCGCGAAATAGGCTGCTTTCCGAAGCGACGAACATGGGCGCGCTGGGCTGTGAATTCGTAAACAATAAAATTCCGTTATAGGGACGTTTCGTACATCGTATGCAACAGTTTTGAGGGCGCTATCGGGGGCTCGAGCCTTTACTTCGATTTCGAACTGATGAGCAGGCGCCCGTAATCCGCAGCGCACGGTTTACGAGTGACCGAGATTTGGTATTAGGGAGTTCTAGAATAGCGCACGCTAAAGCTTTGCGCACGCAAAGAATAGCGTCGTCACCACTGCGCATGCTCCGAACGCAAAGCAGGTTTTGCGCTTTGCGTGCGCAATTTTAGCGTGCGCTATTTCTCGGAAATAGCGTGCGTACGCGAAGAGCTTTTGCGCTTCTCCTAGGAGGATTCGTGATGAGAAGTTGGCTAAAGCCTAAAGCCAGGACGAGCACAGTTAAAAAAAATGGCGGCTTCCAGGATTATGTCGGCGGCTGCTTTGGCGGCATCGTGAGTTCGACGTCGGCGGTATCCTCGCGACTGCAATTTTCAGTACGGGACGACATTGTACTCGGTTTGGCAGCGATCACTGACAACTTGATGCTCGCCACGCGCGAACATTTCACGGCGAAGGAACGATGTGCGATGGTCAGTACACGAGACCTCTCTTGCCGAGGCGACGCAAGCGGACACGACCGCTCAACCGCTCGCGTCGCGTTCTCATGTTTAAACAAATTAAAATGCTACTCTGGACCATAAAACTCGTTTTTTTTTTTCTAAATTTACAGCATTTCGTGTGTGAAATAAAATTTTTTACTGTATCTTGGTGGCGTCGCAAGCGCGAGATGCTTGGGCTTTTGCGTCGCGGCGGAGAAACGCTGTTCTAAAACTCTCTTGCGTCGCGTGCGCTAATACAAGCGCTAAATTTAGCGCTAGCGTGCGCTAAAATTGCGTACGTTATTCTAAAACTCCCTATTGAAGGACTGTGCGGGCAGCGTAAGTTCGTCTGCTTCTTGCACAGGGGTTGCAATGATGCCAGTACGCCGAGCTCTTAATGGCTGATCGAGAAAAAAAAATATTGGGCAGACCTTGAGGTCTATCCACTGTCCTTCCAATTAAAGCCAATCAGAAGATCGACGTCGTTTTGACGTCATTGCAACCCGTGCGCAACAAGCAGACGACTTGCTCTCACGCGAAGAGTCAGTCACTGTGCCATCTACGGTGGAATCGATCAACGAATGATGTCTGCAACTCGGAAACACCGTTTGACCCGAAACTGCTATTCGCGTTCGGGACACGCAGCACGAGAAGGACACATGCTGCGGTGCCCCCATCTCTGGGTCAACATGTTTTCTATGGTCATCGAAAGTAGGGTGCCTCGATGTGCTCTGTCACAGGGTGAAAACACCCATTGTTGTAGTGAAAACTGCCTCCGCGTGCCAAATGGGCCTTAAAATGGCGCCAAAGCACCCGGCACAGCTAAGCGGCCGCTCCGAACGAGACCTAAGCGCGTGCATTCTGGGAAGAGAAATGGCCCACCCTAAAAGACAGCATTGGAAAGGCTAGAGAAGCGGCAGTGCCTCCGGCGTACCCTTTCCGAGATAACATTTTTACTACCAACTCCGAGCGAATTGTGTTGTCGCAATACACTGACAACTGTTTTCAACATGTATCAGACTTTCAATATATGAATCATGAATGTGTACGCGTGTGTGGTTCTACAAAAGGGCAACTCAAAACGAAAGCGGGAAAAGACGAGGCGAAACCCGCTCGCCCGTGTCGGTCGCAACCGCATCCGACCAGCATGACGGAAGACGTTCCCCCGGGAGAAAGTGAAAAAGGAAGGCTTTTCGAGGCAGGTGACTCTCCGAATCTTACTGCGGATGCCGAGCTTTCCGACCCGTGGCCGTTATCACGGCCTATTACTTCAGATTTTCAAAACGACAGATTTTTTGCCGGTGTTTAAAACGGGTCTTTCCTACTGTCGTCGTTGAATTAGAATCTTCGAACTATGAACTACTTATATTCTTAATCCGACAATTTTGGTAAACCATCCCCTGTCGGAGACTCGGTTCCAGGACAAAGGGCGCCATTGGGAAGGGGAGGGAAAAATAGTGATGGTTGCGAGTAATTTTAGTACTCCCAAAAGTAATCAGATTACTCTTGCGATTACTTCCTAATACATATATTTAAATGATCACAAATTTTTGTACAAAAACGAATTGATTACGAGTAGTTTGATTCCTCGCAATGTGTGCCGTACAAGTCTGGTATAACACACATCGGCCCTCTTGTTGCACCCGAGCCTCGCGAGGTCACATTTCGCCAAGTGTGTTTCACCGGCAGGTTGCCAAAGACTGGGCAGGAGGAGGCGGGAGGCTGCACGGGTTCGAACGTTGTTTTTTTATACGGAGGAAGTCGTAAGGAGGAGTGCGGAGCCTCTATAAATTATAGCGGGAATTAAGGACGTGCGAAGCGGTATCGCCAAGTTGGGTAAACTGAGCACGTACGCACGCATCCGCCGGGCTGGGGTCGAAATCGAGGCCGAAGGACAGCGCCGCTGGCACGATTGAATAAATACTACTTCATATGACACTTAATAATAATAAGGGCTTTATTTCCAATGAAAGCCATGGGGGAAGCTAAAAGAAGAAAAAAAAAAAAAAGGAAGCTGAAGAATCAGCTTGACGAGCACCCTCGTCTCCAGAAATTATACGATTCAAAACCAAGAAGGGTAATACACTATATACAATACGCACAGACACTCTGCATAAAGGAAGATTTAAAAAAAAATATTCGTCACAATTAAATAAATTAAATAATCGTACAACGCTATGTTACTTCGAAATTCAAACACTGAAATTTTCGTATAACCATATCCGCGCATCAGAAAAAGATTAACCACATATACATGTGGTCCGAACGATGGGAATTGAGCACGAAGGTAAAGTCCCACACTTCGGTCTATTTCACAAATGAAGAGCTAATACAGCTTGCGGAGACCGCAGGCGCAGAAAAAGGCTCGATCGGGTGTTTCGGCTCATATATTGGCCGTGGGGATAACATCACACATTATTTCCGAAACAGTTGAGCAAGGCGTGGTCATACACAACCCTATCTAACATTGCTTAGCTTTTTTTTTTTTTTCTTTCTGTAACCTGTTCTTTTTTTTTTTTTTTTTGCCCGTATTTGAGAGTTATTTTTTCCCACACCAAATGACATTTATTTATAAGTGCGAATAAAACACTGTAGTGTGTATAAGAAGTTTTACGTAAAGTGTGACGATGAAGCCTACAATATTTGACTGTCTCGACGCAACGTACGTAGTTTGTATGGTTGACCCAAGTCATCCGTGCTGTCAATATCTCCACTACCTTCATTTATTTTCTCTCTCTTTATATATATATTTTTTTCTGGATCACTCAACTAAATTTTGTCCAAGTACCGCATTGCCAAAGTACCGCGCTTACATTAAACCGCGGGGTTGTGCCGGGACTTTCACATGGCGCGATCGGTGTTCACTTTTGAATTCATTGAAGTTTTCACGGAGACGGTAATGACCTTTATACTACGTCTCTCTTTCCTTTCGGCACTAAACTTGGGTACAACTTTTCTCGGCGTTCCCGAAGGGAAGAGAAGAGCTCGCGCATACCTTTAATCCGCGCTCAAAAGGGGAGAAGGCACGCGTGCACGTATATCTTTGACTGCATTGCCAAGAAAAGTTGAGCACTCGACCATGTTCCCATTTCTTCGGGCGTGAGTACTTGCCATCCGCCCGTCTGCCACTGTCCATCCGTCTTTCCATATCTGTCCGGCCGAACGATCAGACAGGGAGGACAGAACGAAGAACCGATAGGTGGACATGATGTAGAAAGACGAGGACAAACGCTTGGGCTTGCATCGGCAGAGACGTGAAGCTCAACACGGTATAGGCGATAAGAAAATAGCATACCGGACTATGCGGAACGACTAGAAAGTGTTCGCGCATCCAGAGAGCCATTTAGCTTTCTGCTGCATGTCTAATTAATCATTCAACCAATCAGTCAGCCTGTTAGACAGACAGCATTAGGTTCATCTGTATAACCAATCAATAGATCAATCAGCCTTTGTTGGTAGACAGGTAGCATCCAGTCTGTCTGTCCAACAATCAATCGAACAGTGAGCCCTGTTGGTTACCACTCAGTCCGTCTATCTAACCAATCAATGGATCAATGAGTCCTGTTGGTTACACGAACAGCATGATCAGTCGGTCTGTCTAACCAATCAGTCAATGACTCAATCGATCAATCAGCCTTTCTTGGTTAGACGGACGGCATTCAGTGCGTCTGTCTAACCAATCAATCAATCAGCCTTTTTCGGTTAGATAAACGGCATTCAGTGCGTCTGTCCAATCAATCGATCAATCAACCAGCCTTTGTTAGACGGACAGCGTTCAGTCCGTCTAACCAATCAGTCGATCAATCACCCTTTGTAGGTTATACAAACGGCATTGAGTGCGCCAGTACAGTCAGTGAATTAACAAAAATCAATAAATCAATCAACCAATCCAGATTTGTAGGCCAAACGACGTTCCAGTCCCCCTCACTCGGATCCGTTGAGCTGTGCAACGGGATCACGTGACGGTGTACCTGCAGGCGGAGCTGAGCAAGTTGCTGTCGGACCTGCTGCTGCTGTACCCGTCGGCGTCCGAGTGTCCCGCTCCCCGGGTGCCCGTGCCCAAGCATCGCTGCAGGGCCAAGCCGTGCGCCAGGGACGACGACTGCCGCCGGCACAGCCACCGGTGCTGCTTCAACGGGTGCCTCTTCACCTGCGTGCCCAGGCTACCGCCTGCCGCAGGTACGCACAGCTCCTTCCACACCCTCGCTTGCCACTGTTCGTCCGCGTTGTGCATATTGTCGCACTGAGGTCACGTCATGACTCACTCTTTCCTGGTTGATCCGAGCGACTCGATGAACGAACCAGCTATGGCGCATACTTTGGAACCGTCATCATCATCATCATAACAATAATTTATAAATGCCTCGGTCAACATCACCTATAATTAAGGCCTGCGAATGACCTCCTTCATGGAAGGTCATCGTGGTCGGAGGGCGCCAACTCGGCAACTGGACCCGAGCCCGGTGCCAAACGATGCCGAGCGCGTCGATTGGACACGAGGCTGAGCCGAACGCTGACGCAGTAGTCGTGTCCAATCTTTGTCTTAGCTCGATCATACTGCGATGAGGTCGAAATTCTGATACACAGGTTTGGATAGTTCTGTAGGTGAGGTCCTGTGGGTGAGGCTCATGGAATGAGCCTCACCCAACGTATGCAACGTTCAGTATCTTCTCAGCTATAAGTTATCACTGGTGCTGACTAGTGTCACTGGATCCTGGGAAAGTATATGCCAAACTCCCCGTCCATTGATTGGAATAGCCGTGGCCGCATCAAGTCTCAAGTCTGCAATTACATTTTTTATAGCGCAGCTCTTAGGCGCCTGTTTCCGGCTTGAGCGGCGTCGGCGTCGCCTTCGCCGTCGGAGTAACCGCGGGGTGCATTATGAGTAAATTTCCCCGCTAAATCTAGCGGAAAATATTCCCTGCTAGATTTAGCAGAAAAATTTCTCTGGGGGGGGGGGGGGGTCACGTGACCCTCAGTACCCTTCCCTCCACCTCCTCAAGGGCAGCGTTCTAATTCGGCGTAACAGGGAGTTGTTAACGGATTTCATTTTTTAATAGTATTCCTTAACAATGTTAGTAGTTTTTCTTTTTTTTTTTATTCTTGTATTCATGTATTTTTGCCTTGTTAGCGTTGTATCCTTTTTTTTATAATAACTAACTTACTCGGCTACTCCTCTTTGCAATGCCTTCGGGTCCTGAGAGTAAATAAATGAAATTAAATTAAAAATCTTTAACCTCTCCATTCTTGGTGCTGGTGACAGGTAGAGATCTTTTCTGAATAGGGAGTATTCACTGGACGCCATTTTTGTGGGTGATGTCTAGAGCGCATGCTCAGAACGAGCTCACATCAATAGGCTGCTAAGACCGGCACTCTGGATGGTGCGGAATGCACGTGGCGAAAGAACTGCGGGAGCTCGCCATCAGCACGCGCTCAGCATTCGCGCACACAGCTATGGCCGCCAGTGAATACTTCCTATACTGTACAGAGATCTTATAGTTATTCACACACTGGTGAGACGAGCGCACATCTTGCACTCGCAGACCACACGCGACGCCGGGGCTTGGCGGCATTGAAAAATAAACTTCCTCTTTCTAAATGCGCAGAACAATACCATCGCGAGAGATATGTGGAGATAAACATGATTGATAAATGGAATGCATGCACAGCGCCAAAGGCGCTTATGTTGGCGAGGAACGCTTTCAGTACGATGATCCCTCCATATATCTTGGCGCGACTGGTGCAGAGCAACCTTTTCCAAGCTTCGGCGATTATTATGGACCAAAACGGCGATCGCCATGGCAACTGAGACAGATCAGCCAATTGGCGACGTGCGCGACCGAAAGCGTCGCTGTGGTCGGCCTTCCACGATTGGCCGAACGCTGACTATGACGTCAGAAAAGGATGTATCATCGACGGAAATAAGAGGAATGAAAGAACTTTAATTTTGACTGTGTTGGCAGTGTTCCTTTGAGAGCGCAATGATTTCAAGCTTCCACCATGCTATTTACAAACACCATCGAATATGTTGTTTGCAAGGTAATGACGTCACAAGGGGGAACCGTAGGAGGGCGCCACTAAAACATCTTGCCGCTAATTACCTGGCGAGGTTTGGTCGGTTTGGTCGTCTGTGTGTTGGTATTTGTTTCTGTCAAGGGGGGGTCGGTGGGCGAGTGGCACACCAGCTCGGAGCACATGAAGCGAAAGCTCGCGCTGCAGAACCCAGAGTCTTGAGTTCAATCCCCACCCCTGCAATAGTAATTGGGGTTGTGGGTATATTTATACAGCGTGCAGTTGAATACACAGAAAGAGTAAAACACGTAAAGGACGAACACAGACACACGCACAGTTTTTTCAATGAGCAACGAACATTGAAATGTTCGTTGGTCATTGAAAGAACTGTGTGTGTCTGTGTTCGTCCTTTACGAGTCTTATTCCTTCTGTGTACTCTGTAGTTTTTCAACGCGCTCTGCTACGTGTACCTTAGCGTGTAGTTGGTCAGCCATTTCAAAGTTGCGACGAGGCACTCGCTGTAGATGAGCAATTTAGCCAGTGCAGTACGATCGCTAGCCTGAAGTCTTTAACGTGCACCACGTAGTAGTGATACATGACCGCACGCCGGTGCAATGCTCATGCAGATCGAAAGGGGCAAGGGGGGGGGGGGGGGGGGTGCAGAACCCAGGATTCTGGGTTCTGCTGCGCGAGCTTCTGTCCCCTCTCCACCCCTGCCCGTTTCGATCTAGATCACTGTGATCTAGATGAACATCGTACGGTGTGCAATTGTGTATCACTACTGCGTGGTGCACGTTAGAGACCCCAGGCTAGCGGTTGTGCTGCACTGGCTAAATTGCTCATCAACAGCTGGGAGACAAGTCGCTCGGTGAAGTCAGATTAACTTCAAGGCTATAGAAACATACCCACAACGAATTTTTTCTTCGTGTTCGGCTAGCAGGCAGGGAAGGCAATGGCGCCACTTTCCCAGGATCTAGTGACTTTAGTGCTGACGGCCTGTTGGAATACCCGAAACACACCTTTTCATTGGTGCACACAAGAGGTTTCTGGTTGTGTCTCTCTTCTACGGGTCTTAAATTGTCTACGTGCACCAAGAATCCGTTCGCTGAAGTCGTCCAAAAAACCGATTCCTTTTTCTCGGTGGACAAAAATCGGTGCCTGTAGTATTGTGTGTCTAGGTCGCTAGTGCACATTTGTATAAATTCGAGCCTCAAACCTCGACAAAAATAAAATAAGTTTAAACGCCAGCTTCTGCAGGCTAGCTAGATTGCCTTCAATTGATGCGAATAGAGTCCAATTGAAACAGCGTGCGGGAAGACGGCTGCGTGTTTTGATCTTCCGTCGAGAGTCGGCGTCGCCGCCGGGGACAGCTGGGACGAGCGCGGTGCACTGACTCTTATCGGGGTGCGAGGAGGTCAAGTACGTCGCGCTCGTGTTCATCAGTGCGGAACGTGCGTGCACACAGCCACCACGGCCCCATCGGGTCCTGCAGGGGAAATAAACACGTGCGGGAGGGGGGTGACCGAGCACTCCCCATTACGGCAAAGAGGCAGCTCTATTCTGGGCCCTCTCCTGTGGCCAGCCACCCCGACGCGACAGATGAGGGCTTCTGCGGGAGACGCGGTCGGGGCCACCACGAGCACGCACCACGTGCACCGAGTCAGATTCGCACGAAATGCCCTTGATCTTTTTGCCTCACCAGCGAATTTATTTTTACTTGCGTTTGCATGTGCGACGTTCCCTTTTTTTTTTTTTTTTTACTTCTGTCCGTGTCTACAGAAGTCATTCCTGACGAAATGGTTCCCTGCAGGATCAGTCATCCTGGAGGGATGACCATGCCTCCAGTGATGGTTTCTTCTTTTCTGCACCCTCTCCGTTTCCAAAGAGCAAGTGAATAAAAGCCTGTTAATTACTTACCCAAAAAACCCAAAAAGAAAAAGAAATATCGTAGACGTCACGAGCTTCATTTGAACGGGGATGGCCATCAGAGTTGTTCTGTGGCATTTATTTCAGTGAAACAGACTTGTCTGCAAGAAGGAAAACAATACTGTCTTTCTTGCTAACAAGTTCGTTTTACTAAAGTAAATGCTGGACTCCATGGAGCGAAAAAAGCGACGAATTTCGCCTGGCGACGTTCGCTCTGCGCGTGTCGTCAGAAGAATGGCTGCTCCGCCGCGCGCAAAGCGAACGCGCCACCGAGCGAAGTTCGTCGGTTCCGCATATTCGCTCCATGGAGCTCAATCTTAAAGACACCCATGATGCTATTTCTTGTTTTGACGAAATTAGGCTTAAGTAGCTAGACATCAGCTCATAGAGAAATTTAATACTCTCTACCTTGACGAAAATAATATCTGGGGAATGGGAACAAAGGGGACAAAGGACAAATACAAACCTCCCAACACAGCTAGGTGTTTGGAGGTTTGGAGGTCCCTGGTTCGATAACAGGACCAGGCGGATTTTTTTCGGTCGCGCACCAGTCACCTAGCTGTGTTTAGAGATTTGTGTTTGTCCTTTGTCCCCCTTGTTCTTTTTCTCCAGGGATTATTTTCGTTACTCTTGCAGGGTCGCTTGCATTTTTGCAGTGAATTGCATTGTCAATCATAATCTTAAAAATGTGCTATACGTGGCCATTTCCAGAAGATACGATATTCAATTTATATCGCAAATACTGTGAAACTCGCCGTCTAACTAAGACCCGGAAGAGGTTGGGGGCTATTTGCACACTGGCGCCACCAGTTTCAACTCGCGCGTGCAACGCCGGCTGAACGACCGTAGCGGGGGCTTTCCTGCACGGTGCTGGATGCTTTGCTCCTCACGTGATCGATCTCGGCGAATAGCGGCTCGGGGAAAACAAATACGCAACTCCGCTCCCCCTCCGGGGAAGAGCTCTACTCTTTTGTGACGTCAGAATGATGCGTTCGTGCTGGTGAGAGGTGAGAGTGACGGCATCGGCTATCTGGGAGCGGAGGCTTCCTGCAGTTCGGTTGCAACGGATTACTAAAAGGCGCTGAGGGGCTAGTTTGACACATACTAGCTGATGAAGGATACAGAGAAGACCTATAACGTCATTATAAAACTGAAAAAAAAGCAAACATTTCGGTGGAGCATTTATAGTGGTACGGTATAGTTGCCGTGATGCAGCAAGCGAAAGTAAACATTGTGGGGAGAGAATGAAATATTGTCTGTTGTTTTCCTGCAGTGATTGATTGGGCAAAGGAGCCTCAACCAGCGGGAAACACAAGCAAGTCAAATAAAGATGCTAAGGGTAAGTTCCTTTATAACTACGGCCGGCATTTTTTTTTTTTTTTTTACTAAGGCATATTATACGGACTGTGCTCCAATCTTTGACAACCCTGGGAACTTCCGGTTCATAAAAATTATGAGCAAAGCTCTCCTTAGCACCGCTGCTTGATGTGCCAACGACACATTCACCCACCAGTTCTCCAGGTGAAGGCCAAAAAAAAAAAAAACCAAGGAAGCGCGAGATCTGTTCAAATATTTCCAATATTCCAATGACAATTAAATGTGAATATTATTGAGATTTACTCAAGTAAAGGCTGGACTCTATGGAACAAATATGCTGAAGAAAAAAAACCGACAAAGTTTGCCCGTTGACGAATAGGTACTAAATTTTAATCGCCATAAGCATACACAAATTTACTAATATTTAAGCCACTAAGTGGCACTGAATATCAGAAAGAGTCAGAGAAGCTGTTAGAATGAAGACTACCAAGTTCCGCGTTAATCTCTTGTGAAATTGGGAAGTCTGCCAAAAGAGACCAAAGGAAAAAAAAAGTGCCAAAAACTTATTCTTTTGAGGACCTATATGGGGTAAGATATCAAGAAATGGATAGACGGTGTACCAGGTGTACCGTATGCCAAGGGGAAGCCGAGACAATAGAACACGTGTACTGTAGAGCACGGACTCCCGCCGCCGCTAAAACCCGCCGCCGCCGTCCCCCGGCGCCCCCGGTCGGGGCGACGGATTGGACCGGAGCGCTGGGTTTGCACATGGGAATGGAGAAATGGATGAAACGGGCGTTGCAAAGAGAAGATTAGAAGAGTGGTGAAAATTATCTACGGAGAATTGAAGGACACGTGAATAACTGGCACAGCTGGGGACAGGCGGCACAAAGAAAAATTGGGACCCCACTGCCGCGTAACTCCGGTCCAAAGTCTCAACCCTGCCGCCCAGTGGGCACGGTTGGGGTGGCGCCAACCTCGCTGGGGGGAGGAGGCGGAAGGTGATTTTTTAGTATTTTTTGTTTAATCCCCCAAAGGTCATCTTAGCACTATCCCACACCGTCTGGTGATAGTTGCAAAAAGACAGAGGAGAAGAAAACTGACGGGGAGAAAAAAAGTCATACTTCTGGTTTCTACATGGGTTTCTAGGCTAGACGGCAAAAGCTACCACCCGCTAGAGGGTACAGCCGCTAGCACCCATCCATCCATCCATTCATCATGTGCGTCAAAAAAAATTTTTTTTTTTTTTTTAACGGTCAGGAGGTTACGCGACGTTGTCACATGGACTCGCGATGACTCGCTACTATCGCTTCCCGCGCCTTTTGCGGAAGTTGACGTAGCTACCGGGTGGGACTTTCGCTCTTTCGCATGTTGGTTTCGATATCTCGGTCTCTTCGCGGCTTAAAATCGCCTTGACGATGGGCAACAAATCTCTATAGTAGATTTCAGTTAATTAATTTGTTATCACTTTACACTTGTAACCTGACGTCCGCCGCAGTCGATAACGTTATCCCCCCCCAAAAAAAAAACTGAAGTTAAAAAAATCACATCAGTCGTTGTTGAAACACCTTGTATATGGGGAAACGCAAGTCCCATGGAGCGAGCTCACGTCATCAGTTTGAAGCGCGAAAACGGCACCTGGTTTTCGCGATCAGCGTAGTTGAGCTGGATGTCGCCTTCGGTTCCATTTGCTGGCGCGAGTCGACGGGGCTCCGATTGGCCGCTGCGCTCGTCAGTTTCCACGACCGCTCACCCCATGGCGCTGCGTGTCCATCAGCGCGCCGTTAACGTCCAAGGTCACCGTGCCCGGAAAGGGGGGGGGGGGGGGGGGGGGGGGGGGTGGCACGCGCGCTGTCCGGCGACGAAAAGTACGCAGCAGACGAAAAAGGGAGCAGACGACCGGCTTGCATGCTTTCGCATTCACAACTCATAACAAGTGGTTAGGTGTACCTCGAGCTTTTTTTTTTATGTAAATGAGTCCTGCAAGAGGTATTATACTCAGAGCTCTCTTCGTGTTTTTGCTGTTACAGAGGTCACAACAGAAAAAGCAGTTGAAAACCACACCAGACGTAAGTGTTTTTTGTTTTTTTTTCACTCTCCTTAGCCAAAAGAGAATCCGATTTCGAAAGTACATTACCCGAGACTCGACAAACACACACAAATCAATAAACAAATAACTGCTAGCTAACATATAAATTTGTCCTATTCACAGCATACGGAAAAAGCTTTTGAACATATACAAGTTACCACACAATCTCAACAATATGGAGCAATTGGACTCAGTTTTTGTTAATCTTTGGCACTAAACAAGTGTACAACTTTTGCTCAGGACCTGAACTCAGAAAGGTATAAGAATGTGTGCTCACCTATAAGTCATGTGTACCACTTCATGGCAGTGTTGGGAAGCACTTTTGAGTAAATAGCACTTTATTTCCTACTTAAGAGGTTCAGAAAATGTGTACTTCACTTGAAGTACATCTTCGAGTATTACTTGTACTTTACTTTAAAAAAATTTTTTCTGGTACTTTCTGAAAGAAAGTACAACTGCCGACTTCAAAGTACATTCCCCGAATATGATCTTGTTAAATTTGTATCGCAAAATTATGCTTTCTCAACTGTGAAGCGATGGCGAAAATTATCCCTGGAGAAGAGGAACAAGGTGGACAAAGGACACAGACCTCCAAACACAGCTACGCGACTGGTGTGCGTCTGAAAAAAAAAAAAATCTGCCTGGTCCTGGTATCGAACCAGGGACCTCTCCATCTTGTCCCCTTTCTCCAGGAATTATTTGCATCATTCTTGTCCAGCTCGCTTGCACCTTTGCATTTAATTGCATTATCATCATAACTTTAAAAATGCAGGCCATTTCCCTTTGTTGGTGTTAGACTGGTGGCATCCGTACTGACGTCTAACTCCTGGTTAGCCCAGTTGGTAGAGTGCTCCACTGGAAATGGAGAGGTCCCTGGTTTGATGCCAGGACCAGGTGGATTTTTCCGATCGCACACCAGTCACCTATAGCTGTGTTTCGAGATTTGTGTTTGTCCTTTGTCCCCCTTGCTCTCCTTCTAAAGAGATTATTTTCGTTATTCTTGCCCAGTTCGCTTGCACCTTTACATTTAATTGCTTTATCATCATGTAAAGCGATGCTCACCAGAAACCTGGAGCAGAGGACGCATCACTCATTAGGTTATTTCTCTGAGCGAAGTAATGGTGGTTGTAAGACCGATACAAATAAGTTCCTTATAAGTTGATTGTGTTAAAACAGTTCGTCAGCAAGAGTGAAACAACTACTCTGTGGCCACCTGGCTTTATCTAATATTCGCCGTCATTTCTGAAAATCCCCTATTACCGATTACGGAATGAAAGGGCAACAGGAAAGATTGAGCTAAAAAGTATATGTACTTTACTTTAAAAGTACACTGAATTTATAGCACTTCACTTCAAGTACATTGCACCCAGTGTACTGACTACTTTACTTACAGTACATAGCCCGTCATTTACTTTGTACTTCAAAAACTTTTTTCGATGTATAGTTTACCCAACACTGCTTTATGGTTCCAAAAGCGTTGCAAGAAACAACCAAGAAACATTATCACAGAATCTCAAGCAACCGTCAGAGGACCACTTCAAGACCGCCTTATCATTCTGTCTTACTACCCAGAGCCTTCCAGAAAGTGCAAATGTTGCCATCCCTGTGCTCCAGGCCCAGTGTGCAGCCTGGCTCCCGCCCACGCGCCCGCTGCCCCGCTGCAGTGTCCCGAGGGCATGGTGTGCATCACGAGGGATGTGGGGGACCCCCTCAAGGGAATTCCCAGCCTGGGAGAGTGCATCGTTGACCCCAGGCACGCGCTGGGCACAAGTGAGTGTACAACGCATGCGCAACCCTCTCGCGTTCGCCACCTGTAGCAATCAGCTTTTCAGATGGTGTGCAGTCCAATGTATGTGACTGGGACATTAAAGTGAGTATGCAGAGAAGAAACTAGTGTTCTGCAACAGATCTGAGAGCTCCAGGACTAGCAAAAAAAGATAACCGGAAAAAAAGGAGGTCTTGTATTAGAACTTTATTCCAGCCCTCTTTCAATTTTGTTCCCTTGTACAGACACTTTCTATGCTGCTTAGGTGGAGTGTGGCACATTCTACCACTTCATTTCTGTGGTAACTGCAAGTTAATGTAGGGGCACACCCCCCCAAATTCGTTGAACACAAACAAAACAAAGGAAGTGGCATGGGGCATGTGGGAAAATCGTGAACGTTCTGGAGCACCATCAAAAGCAAATGTTTTTCTGTGCTGTCCTTTCTTCAACTTGTTCCTTCCCCCAATGACTTTTATTTGCTACCTGAACTGTCCACAGGTGTTCTTTTGAATTTCTCTGCTCTCCTTTTCAACTACTACTGGCTTGGATAGCATTTACTGTGGCCCTTAGTTTAGCTATCCAGGGACTAATCAGCAAAACAAGCAACACCTAGGGACCTTGCATAGCTTGCATTGTATTACAATGCAAGTTCTTGCATGGGCCTTCTTTGTGTCACACTGCTGCTGTTGGAAAAGTAAAGCACCTCACTAAAATGTTTTCAAGGAGAATTACTTCAGACAAGGTGGTTAAGTGCAAGGCTCATTTCAACAGGACTTTTTTTGTTTATGTGTACCCATGGCAATGTATACATTATGCATATGCATAAGACAATACTTTTAATTAACATGCTAGTTGAGGTTTCTGCAGAGTAAGGCAATTCAAGTACTTTATCTTGTTGCTGAAATATCTAAGTTAAGAATTTACTTGTGATATTTTTTTTCAAGCCCTATCAAGTGGAGAAACTGGACATGCAGCACTGGAGGAGAGTATTGCCAGTGAAACAGGTCAGTAAAGCGTATCGATACATCATTCCTAATGCTGCACCTTGTACCATTGTCATTACAAATATACACATTAAAACATGAGCAAAATCCACAACATTCATATATAACTGTGTGAAGTTAGAGCAACACAACCTTTATACATGCCGTCATTGGACATAATCAATCCCATAGACCATTGCTGGGAAGCACGTTAAGTACATTGTATTTAAAGTACCACTTCACATAAGTTTAGAAAACTTGTATTTTACTTCAAGCATATTTTCAGAATATGTTCTTGTACTTTACTTTTTTCTGGTACTTTCCAAGGAAAGTACAACTCCAGATTTCAAAGTGCATTCCCCAAATTTGGTTCGGTGAAATTAAACTCCTTCAAGGACCATGCACTCGTGTCCTTGGCTTTCTCAGTACTATACACAACTTCTGATGTCGATTATAGGAGTTTACCAAAATCTAACAAAAAAATGACATATCATGGGAAAATGCGCTATCGTCTTTCAAGATGTCATCCCATAATTTTTTGAGCGAAATAATGATGGATATAAGACTGATACAAATAAGTGCCTTATAAGTTGATTGTGTTGAATAGTTTGTCAGCGAAAGTAAAGCAACTGCTTTGTGGCCACTAGACTTTATCCAATATTCACCATTTCCGAAAATAGTTGCTGCTGTATGCATTATCCCTTGGGCAATGCATACCAGGTATAAAAAAAACAAAAAAACACACACACAGATTATGTAGGGGAATGAAAGATTGTGTCAAAAACTACATGTACTTCGTTTTGGAAGTACACTGTAGTTATATTTTACCTTCAACTGCATTGTGCCCAGCATAGTTACTACTTCACTTGAAGTGCATAACCTCCAACTTAATTTGTAATTTACTTCAAACACTTTTTAAATGTAGTACTTTACCCAACACTGCCATAGACAAAGCAAATTTCTGAATGCTTAATCATTTGAGAAGTGCATCAAACTCAACAATATGGCGTCAAAATGCATATGAGTAACTGGATTCTGTTCCATATGAATGAAGGGCATCTCAGCAACACTTCATTTTGGTTTGGAACAATTATAGTATGAAACATACTATAATTGTTCCAAACCAAAATGAAGTGTTGCTGAGATGCCCTTCATTCATATGGAACAGAATCCAGTTACTTTAGCCTAGCTTGGTTAACCAAATCTGTATGCCAAACAATGATGCAACTGTGCTAGGATGACCATATTCCTCAAGGTAGGAAAAGGGACATCCCAGCCCGGGAGGAGGGGAGGGGGGGGGGGGGGGGGGACTAAAGATCGAGATTGGTGGAAAAAATTTAATGTAATAACTCCTCTTATTTCAAAACGTTACCATATTGCACTAATGCCCTAGGGCATAGGGAACAGTCACACTCACAGTTCTGTTGCATGCACTCATTTGGAAGGTCCTGCTTCTGGTCCTTCGTTGGTGTGGGCGTATTTTGCTGACGGCTGAAGTTTCCTATGCGGGACTTTATCTTGCAAGACTCGGTTCTGAAACGCTGCGCACTTATATGAGAAGTTCAACCGTGCATGAGTGCTATATCCAGTTACTCAAAAAATATTTCTATGCACGCGTCTTTGAGAGAGAAAAAGTGTTTGTGGGCAAGAACAATTGTAAATATTACTCTATGGGTAAATATTTTAAAGTACCTACGCTTATTTTTGTTAAATATACTTGTAACGAGTAGGCACAGTTGTTTGCTTCAACTCGCTTGGTGCCAATTTCGAAACTATGCACTCCTGCGAGAATGGGACATAGTTCTTTATTGAAACAAAAAGATGGGACGGCAGAAGCGGACCTCAAAAACAGGACTGTCCCGGCCAAAACGGGACGTCTGGTCACCCTAAACTGTGCACTATTGACCCTCTTGATCCTTTAAAGGCCGACGTACACTTTGCGCTTTCCACTTTAGCCCGCTTCCTCCTTTTTTATATCCTCTCCCGTTTTTACATTGCCCCAACTTGACTTCCCTCGCAGCTTAGGAGAGGAAAGCGTTAAGAAAATTATCTTCCCTGCAGAAAACCGAGGTTGTACGTCGGTCTTTAAGATAATTTCAGTTGTGTCTAACAACAGCTCAAGCTTTTGTTGTATAAAATATGCACCAAGATCCACAAGGTTTTCCATCGTAGTTCTCAATGCATGGCACACACTTTCGCAAACGACCAATGGAATATTTTATGGGGACTGTGGTGCCTGAAAGGCGTCACTGAAACTGTGTAGTGCATTTGGATTGAATTTGCAGTTTAAATGTCTCTGCCTTTCTACTTTTATTTTTTTTTTTTAGTTTTCCTGCCTGGAGGTTGCATTCTTACCAAGGAGCAGTACAAGAGCATAGAAGAGTTCAAACAGAAACCTTATATCACAGGATGGTAAGACCTGATGATATTCCACCAGCTGCCTCGGTGATAGCCATTAGGCAGCCTTCTAAACATGGCATTCCAATACCCAATTATAACAATCAAGCTTTTGTCATTCCACTAAATCCCAGAAAATAGAAAAAAATACATGAGGTGCTAAAGTCAAGTTCTGGACACAGATTAGAAGCGGTATCTGTGAAGCATGCTTCATGGCACTGATAATCCTTGCAAGCAGAAAATGGCTTCGGCCACCAGCTCACAGTTGCTGACAGTTCATGATGATATTGATTACAGTATCATCAGAATCAAAATAGTTGCTGTTAATGTTCCTGAATAATTAGTTTTAAATTTGCCTTGAAGAGACCAACTATGTTAGCAAAAGTCTGGCTTGGATACTTGAACTACTCTGGGGAAACTTTGTGGTCTCTCCCATGAAGTCGTAAAGAGTACTATGCATTTTAACGAACTTTCAAAGCTTTTGTAGTGTGGACCTGTACAATCTTCTCGACAAGCCTAGAAATCCCATTGCTTTTTGTCTCGCAATAATTGATGAGGTAGGAAGATCTACAGCCACCTTTCTCAATTATCTTTTGATCTGAGTAAGGTCACATTCTCATACTTTTGCATTCTAGCCAACCGCCAGCGTCACATTCCCACAGAGTTTAATCTTCCTGCGATGCATAGTTTATTCACACTGCCGAAAAATGCGGTTGTCTTTTTTCACCAACGCTTGGCACATTGTTGAAAAAGCAGTCAAGCAATGAGCCACGACAACATTCAGTATATCCTTCTTTTCTGTACTCCATTGACCTTCCATAATTGCTGCAATTTTTTTCTTGCAGCACCTGCAAGCAAGGGTCCGTGGAGTGCAAGATCTCGCCTGTGAAACCCTTCGACCGACGTAAGTCCCGTCCTATTTGCCCCCTTCAGCGTTCAAAGCTCCGTCCGCACGAGACAAGTATCTGCATAAACTGCAATTGAGAGTCACACACCGATAGGTCTGATAACGCTGCATTGTGCTGCTACCGTTACGTCTGCACATTGCCGCGATACACTGTCAGCTTGCCGCCATAGATGTACGATAATCGGTACCCCGAAAAACAAAGTAAAAAGAACCTTGGTTCGTGCAAACCCATCTTTGAAGTCTAGTATATTTCGCAGAAGTTCAACCACACTCAGGGTGGTAAGAGTATATGCAACTGTATACTAATTAAAGTAACTTATGTCATTTCAATATAAAGATATTTTATTGCCTCTTGCTCCGTATGTACAAGATATGGCACGGCAGGAAGATAAAAGTTTGAGATTCCCCACAAGTCCTCAGAGCACATTTGTTCAACGTTTCCATTGCAAAAAATGTTGAATTAGCCTCTGTTTCGCCTCTCTTTCAACATCTTGAGACTCCCGCAGCCTGAGCTAGTCTTTATGACCGAGGACAAAAAAGTAATGCAACCAAAAAGGGCAAAAGAAAACTGCTTTTTTTTTTTTTCTTTTTTTGTTTCATTGGCCCACTTCAGGCAGACCCGATCCTGAACTGTTCTTGTGCGAACCCACAGAACCTTTCTTGCTTCTTAAATTATGCACCAGTTATTTCAAACTCAATTGCAAAATAAATTTCGGAGGTGTTCTTAACAATGTCTCCAATCCATTGCAAACTTCACTCAGCAAAAAAGTATTATTTGGCCGAAATTTCCAGCATTGTTCTCATCACCTTCACTTATCCAGCAGAATCCCAATCAGTTGAAATGCAGCTGTCTCACACCCGTAGTTAGGTGTGCGTCGAGGGGAAGAGATCCCTTAGGATGCCCTTCCCCCTTCACCCCCTCATAATTTAGCTGTTTTTACGACGGTTTATCTCCCGACTGTTGGCATCATAAGTGTCGCCCTGCTTCCTTTTCCAGGAAGACCAAAGAAGCGGTGACCTTGCTGGGCCTGACGGAAGGAGTTCTTTTTTGACGATCGCTTTGGCAACGAGTTGTATATACTGTACATATCTAATCTTATCCTCGACACTGAAAGACACCTGACATTATCACGGAGCGAGGGCCCCTTCCTCCAATCTGCTGCCCTGGAGATACAGCAAGGGGGAGAAGACCCTCTTGCAATCTTGATGTGTCCGTCCTGCCCGCTGACTGCGGGCTTTCCGTTTCCGGTGTTCAATCCTGGGGTGAGAAGGGGAGAGGGGGAGAGAGAGAAAGGGGAGTGCGGGCGACGCGGACGTCACTGAGGCTCTTCATGCAGGAAGCTCCGAGACGTCCAGAGAACGTGTTGTGACCCAATTTCGCAGACACTTCCACCGTGAGGTGGGCACCATTGATCAAACATAGGAGAGAATAAAACTAACTTCATCCAGGAGTTGCCTGTCACTAATATATAGTACATAAGAAAGAGCAAGCTAGTGCATGTTTACCTTAAAAGAAAAAAAAAAAGTGACTGAGGAATACACAAAAGGGGACAACACACAAAGAAATCTCCAACTACATGCTCATTGCGAGCCTTTTCTGCATTTTCTTTCAGGTCATCTTTCGACGCTTTATCGAGTGTATAAGTGACAGTCACCCAGAAAAAAGTTCCTCATTTTCTTTTTCCGAGTTTGTTCTCCCAAAACATTTGGGAACACTATATGTTTCGTCATAAAAGGATCCCAAGTTTTTTAGTTTATTTAAAAAACAAAAGATGGATATTCTGAGTTTTTTCACAGTTCGGACTCGGGCCAACATAGAATCCGGAATGTTTTTAAAATACAGTTTCCGAGCTCACATACCGTTGTGGAAGCTCGTTAGTTCCGTATACTTTAATATAAATAAAAATAAATTAACACTACATAAATAATCCGTTAAATGGATGTTTAGGCAGTGTGATGTTAGTCCACCTAAAGAAGGGATGTCTCGTGTCTCCGCGGTAGATGAGAAATTTAGCCAGTGCAGTACAACTGCTAGGCTAGGGTCTTTAACATGCACCAAGCAGCATAGTAGTACATGAACAAAATGCCACTACAATGCTCGTTCAGGTTGAATTGGGCAGGGGTGGAGATTGAACACAGGCTGGGTTCGGCAGCACAAGCTTTCACTCTACGTGCTCCGAGCTGTGGTAGGCCAGCTGCATAGGCCGTGCCCTATCAAAGTAAGTCTGACTTTCTGATATTCAGTGCAACACTCGATATTCCAGGTAATCTCCTGGGGGAACATGGAGTGGTGAACACTACATGTCCAACTCTCACAACTCCGAGGGTGTGATCCTGGTGCTTGAGGCGTCGCAAACCTTGAACTCCGTCTCTCGACTCACGCTCTGCACACCCCTTTTCTACCATGCCAGCATGCTACTTTAGGAAAAGGCAGGGGTACTCCGGGCCATTCTTTGACCTACTCCAGCTAACTATATTTTCTGAATCCCCGTTCTCTACACTTTCTGCTAGAGCAGTGTGCTTTGATGGGCTAGTTGGTTCATGACTAGATGGAACAGCGCGGAACATAGGACAGAAAGAACATAGGACAGCGCTCGTGTTGTCCTGTTCTTTCTGTCCTATGTTCCGCGCTGTTCCATCTAGTCTAATCTAGACTTTCTGCTATGCTATTTAGTATCGTGAAATTCATAACAGTTATTGTGAAATCGATATGAAAATGTTGCCAAAACCAATATTCAAATATACCCACTCTTTTAAGTGCCATGAACATCGGTGAAAGGCAGGCTTGCAGGTCCGGCGGGCAATATAAAAATAGACTATGCCGAGCGATTGTTTCAAGCTGCTGCGCGGATGCTGGAGCGAGCCTCCAAAGCATTAACTCCATGAAACTGCTTGTAATCAGTTGCGAACAAAGTCTACAGTTCAAAAAGTGAACCCCTACTTTCCCCTGGCGTCACTTTTTCATTGTTGCCAGTAGAGACTCACTTTGAAAAACATGGCAAGGACCAAAATTGTAAATTCAGGACCTTTGCCAAAAACGATTATTTTGGCTCAATATTTGGGTTACTATTTCAGCGATGTCTGTTGGTGTGCTTAGAAAATTTTCAGGCAAATCGGGGACTATGAAGAAAGCACAGGATACCCCTTTAAGCCCCATAAAAGATGTTGCGTGTTGATACGTTTAAATTAAGCAAATGCCGACCGCGGTAAACTGGCTATCGTTTCCCGAAGACAAGAAGTTCTGCAGGGCATGGGAAGGAATGTCAGGGTTGTGCAAGAAGCCAAGTGATACGGCGGTCGTGGCATCTAGCAATTGCGATACAACTTTGCGCTCAAAGACGGCTCCCCTTTTGTATTCAAGGTCATTGTGGTGAGCGTCAAGACCTGGACCATGCATAAACTACTGAAACAGTAAAGGCCGGTCCACACATTTCCGTTCGAGTGCTCTCGAGTATGTGGTGCTCACTCGTACAACACAGTGTCTATTTACATAACACTGTGTGTTCTGTAACAGAACAGAACACTGTGTCTATTTACCTGGTCTGGAATAAATCATGATCATTTTCATCAAACAAAAATCAACAGCCTTGATAGCCCTTAAAAAAAACAAAAAAACACACACTCTTTTTGGGTTATATTTGGTGGAACATTTGCACTTGAGAGCACAATGGCACAGCAAAAGTGGATTGGCGCACAATGGCGCAGTGCTTCCACCCCTGTATAAGCGACACCAGAAACAAGGTTTTGTACGTTGACTATTCACTAGTGATGGGCCAAACTTTTGCCGAATCGAAAATTCAACACCGAATCTTGGGATGTGGCAAAGCCAAATTTTTGCCGAACTTTTTTAAAGGTTCGGCAAACAGGGTGTCTACCAAGTTGACATTTTCAAATTCCCCGAGTTTTCCAGGCTTTCCCCAGGTTCTTTTGCAAAATCCTATGAGTGACACAGCCCACCTTGACCTAAAACTTTGTTTTAGGTCAAGGTGGGCTGACACCCTGTTGCCAGATGCTGTCACTCTCTAAATGCATGTTATAAAAAAAAACAAAAAAAACACGACATAATACGGTTAGAATGGTAACGAGTAATTTTTATCAGATTCAAAAAGAAACAGAATGGAGTAATTATTAAAATTCACAGCAAATAAAATATTAAAAAAAGGTAAAATTGTACTACCATGTTTTTAGCTGGTGCACCATTCCCCAGTATTTTACTGCTTTAAAGAGTTTATTTTGGTTTGAATGAGGAACACCTCCATATCGGCATCAGCAAAGAATATCTGTTTTTTTGAGCTCAAGCTCCTTCAAAGCAGCGGCAGCACATTTCCTTTTCTGTTGATTCCTCAATGCGTCGGCTTTCTTTTCTCGTCCTCTCCAGCTCTTCCTTCCACCGCGCATTCGCCCTGAGCACCATTTGAAGCATCCTCTCGGTCAGCTGCACACTGGCAACTCCTTCAGCCGACGACATGGCGTCGTAAACAATTTGCTGTGCGACCAGAGATTGTTTTTCTGAACAATCTCTGGTCGAAGATGTCACTTGCAAGCTGCACGAAGCGCTTTACACGGCCCCATCAGCGACGACGACGGCCCGGGGCTAATTTTTTCCTGATAGAAGCACAAATTCCCAGAGTTTTCCCCCAGTTTTTACAGACTATTCAAAATCCCTGAGAATTCCCGGTTTTACCGGTTGGTAGACACCCTGGGCAAAGATTCGGCAAAAATACATTGTTGCCAGACCTAAAAGTTAATATAAGGTTTTTTCATATGAAAAAAAGTAAGTTTTTTCAAATGCAAATTGACACGGTTATTACTAAATAAGCTGATACTCTCCAAGATAATTGTATCGGTGTAATTTTTGTGCGTTCAGGGGTAATTTTAAAGTGACTTTTTGCAGAAGTGGTGTGACAATGGGGTTGGGTAGTAGTCGGCACAGTCAGCAGAGTCACGATACACGAGTTTCGGCTTTGAGGCCTCATTAGCGCAAGGCTGCAAGTGTGTATTGTTGAAAAAATGCGGTAACACTGTGTTCTATACTTCCTCTGCGAGTCACTGTTTCGTGTGCGAAAATGAATGCAACGGCTGTTGAGCCTTCACCAGAAGAGATAACAATATTATTGTAAATGTGCATATATTTCGATTCGAGTCACTTCAGTTTTGCATGAAAGTGTGCGTACCATATTCGCAACATCTTGTTTTTAACTTTTAAAATGCCGGTCTCTGATGCTAGGACATACCGCATGTCTAGGAAGATGGGAAGGGTTAGGAATGTTGGATGCGCAATGTTGAGCACGATAGTTGTGTTTAGTTTTATGCAGACAGATAAAAACCGCGAAATAACGCTAATTGAAAAGCAATATTGTTTTGTTTTGGCACAGACCACTTGAAAGCCAAAGACAGGATTGCTATAATGGCGAGGAGATCAGATGAAAATCATGTTATCCCGAATGTACAGCATCATTTGCCACTTGCGCAGTGGCTTGCGGTATTTTTGCGTTCATTTCTGGTCGATCTTCTGTTCTTGAGGCAGATAATATTGAAGGGAACCACACTCACAAAGGCTGACAAACACAATTACCATGTCACCTGCTCCGCACCTCACCGTAACTGCTGGTAGTACTACACTGTATGATGGTAATCGCACAACCGCACAAAGTCTATTTGCAATCCATGGCCTCGTCGCGTGCGCAGATGTTTGCCAAACTTTTTCTCAAAAGTTCGGCATGCACTGAACTCTGAAGTTCGGCAGATTCAGTCCATCACTACCATTCACATATCAAAATGGGGAACGGTGGCCGAATTTGCTAGCGCATGGCAGCTCGGAGCATGTGGGGCGAAAACTTGCACTGCAGAATACAGGCATCTCAAACTCAATTACCCATTTTTTTTTTTTTCTTTAAATGAAAATTGTTTTGGCATGCGTTTGTTTTGTCATCACTGCGTAACGCAATTCAAAAACACCAGGCTAGCGGTCATATCGCCAGTACCGCTACTGGAAAAGTTTGTCATCTACAGCCAAGACACCAGGTGCTCCTTGCTGCGGACTAATTTCCCGCCATCTAAACTTGCACACAACAAACTTTACCTGATTTATAAAAATACGAATAGCAACAATCGCTAAACCACCGACGTCGACCCTCGATTACACAGCGAATGAGAGGCGTTCGCCGACTGTGTTATTTTGGCTTTGTCTATATTGGGTGGTGGCTTACGCCGCCGCAAGTCATTTGCAGGAGGCTTTCGAAGCGGCTGCGCTGCTCTTGTGGGAGCAGGTGTGGCAGCACTACCATAGCAGAATCAGTCATGCTTTCAGCACACGGTTGCTGCAGCAGGAACGAGGACGAAGAGAGGCGCACAACAAAGCCGACAGCCCTTTTTCCCATGTCTGGCACAAGGAAGGGGGTGCACTTTTCTGTGCTGCTCTGCTGTTTTCGCTTAAATTTCTGTGTCACGGGTAGGGTCACGGATCATGTTTCCTTGATCGCATATTATCGCTCCAGGGTGGAACAGTTTGGCACATGAATAGAGAAAGATTAGAAATCTTGGATCCTGAATTGGTAAGTCGGTCGAAAAAATGCCAAGACAACATAAAAAAGTTGCAACTGCCCATGAAGATATTTTATTTAAAAATATACTCTCATTCGCGCGGGTCCTTTCAAATGCGCTGACAAACATGCAGAATAAGAAATTGAGTGCATGCATTTTCCAAACACAGCGTTGAAAAAAAAAAAAAATGGGCTGAATTTGCTGCTGTTTTTACGCCGATTCTCAAAGAAATGTGTCAGCGTTTCGCGCAGCAGTTATATATAACAAAGCTAGGTGAATGCTGTCTCTCAGCACTTTTCCGTGGGTGAACATTCCCAAAACCCCTCTTCTCTTTGGTGCAACAGATCAGGTCCCTTAGCGTGTGCATGAAGGACGTGTGCGCGATGTATGGACAATGGCAGAGCTATTTCGTGGTTGTGCATACATGTTGCGCATACGCTTCCTCCAGTTCCTGCTTCCACGCCTTCTTGATGACTGCGCATCAAGAACGGCGTGGCAGACCGAAGAGCGGAACCACAGCCTGCTGCATTTATGGGTCTCCAAAGCCGGCGGCAGGAGCTTCAGAGGGCGTCCAAAGCGCGCACCCTTATGCCGGCCACGTAACACCGAGCAACCGAGGTGCAGGGGGGGACAATGGGGCTAGGGCGTACTTGGGCCGCCGGCGGAGCACCATGAGGCAGCTCAAACAGGTGGCCCAAGGTGGGTCAATAATTTGTAAGGAGCCATCTGCAGACTTTTGCCACGAAGTGGCGTGAACGGGAGACCGGGTTGGTTTTACATGTGCCCCAGTGACACACCCACCGTCCCTTGCTGCGCAGCTTCGAAACTGGCGAAATTGGCGATGTCGCCGGCAATCTTCGGTTGCAAGGTGTTACGTCACAGCGTCGCTCCCTATAACCAGCCAATCCAGTGCGGCCTCCGTTCCTATGCGTCCTATTGCAAAGCCGCACGAAATACGCACGACCGCTGCAATCTGTTGGCGCTTGCAGAAGGTGCTTCCTAGCCAGTTTCCATAGCCAGTGGGGCTGTGGTGCCATCCTGTGGCAACGGTGCAAACTTTAAATATGTGTGCTCCAAACCAGTCTAAGGTCAGCGCATGAACCAAGGCACTAACACCAATGCATTATTACTAATATTGGAGCAGTGTCACAAACTCAATCAACGGTGTGAGCAAAACAAAAGTGGACATGCAAAGAACGGCGGAGGCGGCGCCGCATTTGCCCCGCTGCTTTCGCTGCCGCCGTGCCACGAGTTCTCAGTTTTGGGTGTAAATAATTTATTAGTGTGCAACTTTGTGTCTTAAAGGCGCTAGGTGACTATGCTGCTGCATACAGGTTTTCAATGCAGCAGCATATTAAGGTAGTGTCATCTTAACACAAGGTTGCGCACTAAGAAATTATTCGGACTGAAGAATGTGCAACACAGCAATGGCGGAGGGGCGCAGCGGAGGCGGCGCGGCGGCGGTGTCGAATGTTGCCTCTACCGCAGTATTTGTTCTTTACACGCGCCACTTAAGAGTGACGATTTCTGTAGCATCGATTGGTATTCATCCAGAAAATTCGTAATACCGGTCATTTCTGCTTTGTGGGGCCGTGCCATTGCTTCGTTAAAGATCAACGTTTCTCAAACAGGAATTTGTTGCAGTAGTCAGAGAAACACATTGAACACACAGAAGATTGGCCAGGACTTTATTTTACTTCGTTAAATGGGTGTTTTCGTAGTAGAGGCATTTGTTATAAAGGCGTTCAACTGTACAGGCAGATTGGAGGTGCTGCGGGGCCTCCTTACAGACGGTGCCAACGTGTTTTCTCGTTGCAAGCACTTACGAGCAGGCACGATGCCCTCTACGCAAGTGTGTGAACCAGCCCTAAGAATAGCTGCAACGGCCGAGGCCCACCGGCTGTTTTCAAGACGGCAGACAAGGGGAAAGCCATGGCCAAAGCGTCCCCTTTAGTCACCGAAGAGTGTGATTATTCGAAGTAGGAAATGCTACAGGAAACAGGCTTGTTCGAGATTCCTTACATTTGATTTCCGTCCTGATGTCCGCCCTCAATTTTGCTTCAATGACAATGCCGCCTCCCTCAGGTTTTCCAGGCCGAGCGAGGGACAATTGCACAGCGGGCAGGTGAAGTTGGGGTCCGCAGTTACCTGGCTCTGAGCAGAAAAAGGATGCGGCATTTTAGTAATAATACGGCATGCAAGTCACCTGCCACATCTTCACAGGTGTGCATGCCTGCTGGTCAGAACTGAAATGATACTTCAAAAACGTCCTTGAAAAAAGCATTTTAATATGTTGCGACACTTCTGCTGAGGAGAAGTATATGTAAGCTCGAGGTCAAACATTCTTTGTAACGGGAAGTGGGGATGGGGTGCGGTCAGGTAAATTTTCTTAAAGAACGTGAGGGCTGTTCAGATATTTAAAAACACTGCATGGCCTCGAAATTCTGTTATTTCCCTACAAGTATCCCCCTTAACTGTGCAGGGATGCGGGAGCTAGAGTGACTAAATAAGCAGAATCGGAGTATCACCTTCTTTTCTTATTTTGCCGCCAACTCCTCCTTAATGGAGGGGGGGCTACATGTGCCAAAACAACCCAAACCGCTTGCAAGAAAGCGGCCTTGCAGAGCGCCGAGCTTTGGGTGGGACATGTTTTTCACTTTGCGATCGTGAACTGTAGATTTCGTTCTGAAGACTTACAAGGAAAAAGTTTTGTGAACCTTCTAGTATTTTCTGTGCCACCCACATAAGCATAATTGCGTTTTTTACAGAGGTAGTTGTTAGTGCTCCTTCCTGGCAAAAAAAATGCTCACGTATGAACACAAAACCACACTATACCGCTGCTTTTCCGAAAAACCCACGTGATCGCGGGGAAAGTCTACTTATGTATGCGAGCTGTTCTGTAGAGGCACGGAGCACCTCTACAGAACAGCTCGCATACATTCTTTCGCTTCTTCCACCACAGGCACAGTCACGGGCGCTTTCTGAAAGAGCTGTTCAGCAAAAAAAAAGCACGTCTCCGTGCCCTTTTTTATGCAACATCAGAATCGCACACACAATTGTTCCACCAAAAGAAATATCTCCTCACAGACGTCTCCTACATCAATTCCAGTGAAAGTAAAGAACCCAAAGCAAACATTGTACAGCATACTCGCTGAAGGCGAATCTTGTTCAACAAGCCTTTTTACAACGCAGCAGCTACCTCTGTCAGTCACAGCACAATTCGTGTGGTCGTTTGCGATTTTTTTTATACGAGTGCTGTTTCAATGGGGCTGTGAACGAGCAGACGACAACGACGCTTGCCACATGCACGTGCTTCGAGGGAGAAGGTCACCGCCGCCGTACCCCCACACCAAGGTTGACTTAGTGCGGGACATATTTTTTACTTTGCATCTGCTGAATGTGGACATTACACTGAAGCCTGATGAGTAGGAGGCCTTCTGAACCTTTGAACATTGTGTGCACCAATGCAATACAGTCTAATTAAGTTTCTGATATCAACAGCGACGTCTCAGAACACCAATGCAGCAGACGACACAAGCAGATGACACATTGCGAGCTGCCGAAGAGGCACCGAAAGAGCAGGGAGACGCACGACGGCACATGCAGTGCATTGCCGCCACATGTTGTCACGCCCGTTGCATCCGCTTACAAGAGAAACGGTTGCTTTCTCCAATACTTGGAAAATCAAAATTTGGGACTAATGAGATAGTCCGCTCTGTGTGTACAGTTACTCTAGCGGGAACCACCAATATAGTTATATACAGTTACTCTAGCGGGAACCACCAAAGAGGCAACAGATAGTGTTGATCTGACATCGGGGAAGTCCTCTTCTTTACCCATGCCCATAATTCGAGTTTCATATACAGTATAGACCACTTACAACGTAACCGCTTATAGTGCAGGACCGGGTATAACGCGGCTTTTTTAAACCACCGGTTCGCCTCCCATAGAACTCCATGTAATTACATACCGCTTAAAATGCAGGCGCGCGAAGGGAAATACCGGTTATAGTGCGGTTTCTGGAACAGCCCGCCGACCGCGCCGACCGACCGGCCCAGCGAGCACGCTTCCCTGTGCGACACTAGACAATGGCGTTAGCCGCAAGCGGCACTCGCGAGGCAAGGAGGTTGCTCGAAAAAGCGAAAAGAAAGGCTTCAGTTGCCATAGCGACAAAGGGACACATGCACGTGTCGTTCACGTGCGTGCGTCCCTCCGCTGCGTTGGAAACAACCGCAACGACAGACCAATCGCAGGTCGAGGAGAAGTGTTCGCGCGCGTTGCATGCCGGTCGCGGGTTGGCTTCTTCTATCCGCAAATATGGCGTCGGTTGTGATTGTCGAAGTAGACGGCGTGGTGGAAGCTCATTGTTACGCGTAAAAGTGCTATCCTTGACTGTGAAGTTTCGTTGTGTGTCGCTATGATAACCCAGCATGTACTAGAAGGGAAGATCCACCTACTTGTGCGGCGATGTCGTGGCGGCACTCTCAAGACGGCAGAAACGCCCGTGTCGTCGTGTTTGTTTACTTCGATTACAGTGGTGCTTTCTAAGCATTTGTGTCTTCGAACATCGCCCGGATTTCTTATTTGGAGCATTTCATGCCTGTGCTCAAGTTGAAGGTATTACTAACGCGTACCATATAAAGGAAGCGAATTTTCACGCATTTTCATCACCGGAGAAAAGTGATTAAGGTTAGCAATCCTGAACGCTCGCAACGTCCGCCCGCAACCCGCGACGCCGTTAAAAGGCTGCACCAAGCAAAAGTCGCTCATTTCTTTCAAAATGTGTGACACACTTGAAAAAGAAGACTGGTGAAATAAAGACTTTCCTCTAACTAAACTTTATTTTTCATCTAATATAAAATAAGTTGTTTTACGAAGGTAAGTTGTCTCATGGCATGTATTTTGGCCTGAAAAATCTATGTTTCGGTTATAACGCGGTACTGCTTATAGTGCAGATTTTCGCGACTCCCGCGACATACGTTATATGCGATCTACACTGTAGCAACGTTTCAACACGCCACATAGCAACACTTCGACATGTCTCGTAGCAACACTTTGACATGCCATATAACAACACTTCAACCAAGCTGTGTAGCACCATTTAAAAAAAAATGCTAACATATTTTTCTAAAGGGTCACTACAATTGAGTGATCCTTTACTAGAGCGAAAGAATGGTCAAGGACCACTGCAATAAATGACACACTAGGTGCTACTAGAAGGAATGACATCAAGTGGTACAGACTGGTTTATACCTGTCAACTTCGTCAATGTGATGGCAAAAGCTCAAACAACAGGTTGACAAAGGCTGACTGAGACAAACCCGCTTGTCTCATTCAATACAATTTGTTGCAATAATATATAACTCTCGAGTAGACAGCAAAATGCCAATATTTGTGACAGGTTAGTCTTACCTTCCTCCTGCTGTCAACAGTCACAATTTTTAACGCTGACTGCAGTAATGAAAGCAGTAATGTTTGTAATGTAAAAGCACCTACAGTTGGTGAAAGGTTAAGAACTTGAAACACGCTCTGCTTTGGGTGCAAGCTTTCTGCTTTTGACAACATTTTGTTGCACGTGCAACCAAAGCGATGCGGAAGGCAATGAGTGCATGCTAGAGGGGGAGCACCTACTGGCTTTTTAACCAGCAGCCAACTATAGATGGCCTCTACCTTACAAACGTTATTCACCTCTAGACCTCATTGTGACAATTTACTTACCGCAATGCAGTAATAGCAGAAGACGTGCCTACAGCCGATCTCGTGGGGCTGAGTGGGTGCTACAGCGCAAATGCCACAATGTGCGAGATCACTCGGCGTCCTCTCGTAAGGCGATGTCGGAGACATCTTGCGGTGCAGGAGCTTCCGAACCACAAAGTTCTTTGCTGGGTAGATGTTCACCAGTGGCAGAAGGAAGCCCACAAACTCCTGAGAGAAATCAAGAAAAACAGGTTCCTGAACTCTCACTTGTTTAAAAAACGACATCAGTAAACTCTAAGAAAAGCGGGCCGTGCACGAGTTCCCATAGCAACTTGAGTGGACGCTGTGATGTGCCGGCATGGCATAGGTCTACGTCACAACATTCGTGCAAGTTGCTATGGAAAGTGCTGCATGACGCCCGTTTTCGTCCCTCATGTTACTCGTGCCTAATGAGGACTTAATGTGCAGGACTTGTCTTCTAGGTGGTATCGGATGGATGGATATGGCAAAACCTTTTGATCGGGCAACGGCTCGCGCCACCTAGCTAAAGTTTTTGATTTCAACAATTAACTCCTATTAACTTGGAACTAATTAAGAGTGATAAAGAATTCTCCATCGTGACGTCACAGCAGCTGTGGCCACCTAGCGGACGCTGCACGAGACCAACAATCATGTGCTTCAAATTTTGTTTATAAAAAGGGCTGCCAAAGCTGTGGCATAGCTCTGTGGTAAAAAAGACACATGCACTTGGGGTACATCTAATCATCAAGGAGATTCTAGCAGTGCGGCGTGGAAATGTGTATGGTGTGGCAGTTTAAAAACACAATGTGCTGCAAGAGGCAAGCAATGCAACGCTTGCAAGCTAGGACACTTTTAGAGCATATGTTTCTCCAAGCTTGCAGCAGGGTCTCATAGGTCACAAGTGCACAAACCAGGACTCAACGAAGTGTTCCTGGGTGCACTGGTACACGCAGATAATGAAGATCCCTGGTACATCAAGGCAAAAGTCAACAACCAGGAGATCACATTCAAGGTGGACACTGGGGCGGATGTTACCGCCATTTCTCATATAGAGTACAAGGTCGGAGAGATGGTGAAGCTAGAGCCAGCCGGAGAAGATCTTCGAGGGGCAGGAGACTGACAACTCTCGGGAAGTTCCAGGCGACGATAACTTGGAACGGCAGAAGGAGAGAAACTGTCTACGTATCGGAAAGACTCCGACATCCTCTACTCAGTCTCCCGTCGATTCAAGCTCTGCAAGAACTGCCAAGCCTAAACGAAATCAAGGCTGACAGCCATCCGGAGCATGATCGCATACTTACCAAGTACCCATCTCTATTTCAGGGACTGTGGAAGATGAAGGTACATACTTTATACGATCTCACTTCACCCAGATGCTAAGCCTTTCGCCATCACGTACCCCAGACAAGTACTTATCGCATTTCTGCACAGGGTAGTGGTATTGAGAAAAATGCAAAAGATGGACGTCATCAAGAAAATGGAACACGCCACAGTCTGGTGCTCACCCGAGGTGGTGGCCAAAAAGCAAGATGAAGCTCTCCGGACCTGTGTGGACTACACACAGTTAAACCAACAGATTGTGCGGGAGGGAATCATCATGCTGTTGTGTCTGGTGGTTTAAACCAGAAAAAAGAAGCCCGTTATGCAAACTAATAACCGTCTTTATTCATGGTTGCCAAATGGACCACCTGCATTGGCTTGCCTTCCTTCGGCTTACTGAACAACTTGCTAAAGTCATATCAAAACTGAAATCGAAACACAACATTCCCCCCTACCTTAATGACTAAAGCAAGAGCTTAGGCATGGTGTATAAAAAAGAAAGAAGGTAAAAAATGAAATACAAATGATATTCAACACTTTCAACAGTTCACTGTCAGTTCCGATAGCATGGGGGCTTGAGCCCTCTTGAAGCTCTGGCAGGCATCAACCGGCTGTCTCTTGACGGTCGTCTTTCAGATTGACTCAAGAAACGGACACCGAAGAGAGCAGACAATGCCTAAATTACGCAATGCATGCGTTTGAAATTGTAGCACACTTTACAGAGCCTTTACAAACAATAGAGGATTCAGTCCAATTTTCATCGTGAACTGCTACTATCGTTTACAAGCTGAGACACCCCAGTTGAAAATTTCTAGCCGGTTAAATAGCTAAGAGGTTTCACTGGGTCTGTCGTTCCCATACATTCCACGGTGCATTTTCGATCGGGAACGGCTGTCGGTGAGTGCGACTAGCACATGATCATATATAGCACACATGTTAGGTCATTCTTAATTCTAATTAGCCCTACCTTTGGCGCATCATCGAGCTTTTGCCAGCACCCCAACACCATGGCCCACCACCAGCTCGTTAAATCGATAAGTCAAACGAGAATCGAGGGTAGCGCATCCTTGGAGCGGTCCACGTCTATGCACACACTCGCCCAGTCGAGCGCACAAACGTTAAATATGCACACCAACACGGGAACACGACAACAGCACACAACACACGGCAAGAACGACAGGTTCAGATTCCAGAAATTAGCATCTCACACACTCTGACTGGCCTTGATGCCCCGACAACCAGATTCCCGAATGAGGCACTCATGCGAGGGCTTCTGGGATAGTCATTCTCAACGAACTCCGCTCGTCGACGTTGGGAATAGAGCATGCTCGAATCGACCATGAGCCCCGACGGTCGCCAAGGTATGCTACGCTATGTTACGTTCGACCTGTTATCGGACTATAGATACTCCGTTCGCAGCAACGTCGCACAACGCAGTCGGGCGCGCGCATCCGTCGACAATCCTTTGGAATATAAACGCAGCTTTAACCTTCCACATCTGAGCTGAACTTTGCCCAGCGAGTGAATGGCCACCCACATCATGTGGAAGCAGATCTTCACACATTTTGCGCTTACCAGTCTTTGCCAGCACAATAAAGCTCGTACAAGTTTTTCTTTAGTTATTTTTTTTATTTCAATGCACTTTCTCGCTCTTCACAAGGAAGCCGCAGTGTGGCACCACTCCTTTATCTCCTCCGTACTGGTACATCTTATTTTCAGAGTTTAAAAAACTCTAAATCTAGGGAAAGGAAATTTTTTTTTTCTACCTGGTTAGCACAGGCAAATATTTAAAAATGTTTGTAAAAAAAAAAAAACTTTTTTTGGAGGGGGGCTTAATATTTATGCTACAATACGAATTTCGAAAAAGGAACAAAACTTTCAGCCCTTCCACTCTGGTGAAGAAGGAAGACCAGCAAAGCTGTACTATAGTGGGAATGAAGTAATGGCTGGCCGCAAGTCGGCAAGCTAGAGTGGAAAGGCTGGAAAGGTTGCCGTCAGCTATGACCAACAATAGCAACCAGACAACCGGCATGCCAGTTGTCTGGTTGCCACCGTCGCTTATAGATGGCAGTAGCTGTCCAGAGTTTGGTGTCATCATTTGTTTGCTGATGGACACAATCCTGGGGAAACTAGCCCTTAACATCTCCGCTGTAAAAAAAATTCTTTTTTCTAGGTTTCATGTCTCTTCAAGGTGCCAGAGCTGGTGCGGCGCCAAGAACGGAAGCACCGCGATCGCCTTTAGCTTGACGCTGCGTCACATCGTGTTACCACTGCCTTTGCCACAACAATAAAAAAAAGGGGGGCAATTTTTTAGGGGCGAAGCTCCTTAGGGTCTAGCCTTGTCCGGCTTCCAAGTTCACATCGATTGCCATCCCATCTGTCTTCTTAAAAAAAGAAAAAAAATTTTGCGCTGTCGACAGGATTCGAACCTGTGTGGGGAGACCCCAATGGATTTCTAGTCCATCGCCTTAAAGGGACGATGAAGGCGATTTCGGACATCTTTTTGGCGATTGAACTGGATTCCAGGCGCATCTCGGGCCATGTTGCCCAAATTTCAGCCGAAACCGGCGCTTGTGTGCCGCGCAAATCAATTAAACAGTCGCGGTAATAATCATACCGGAATCGACTGGGGCGACGCCCCGAGAGTTGTGGGAGAAGCCAGGAGAAGCGGAGCTCACGTGACCGATGCGAGGCCAAGAAGCGCGACGTCACAAGAGACGCCTCAGCGATTGGTCGAAATGAGAGACGCGCCCTCGGTCACGTTTTGGTTCTCGGTTTTTAGGAATACTGTTCTAATTTCCGCTTGAATAACCATGAAAAGTATAAATCAGACCGGAAAGGATTACTAACCCGTAAATAAAGCAGCATAATTGTTTTCTTCTTTGCTACGCTGGACGCGAATTGGCCAACGAGCAACTATGGGCTTTTCGGCATGCGGGCCGCTCGTTACCGGCTGGGCTGGTCTCCCTCGGGTGATGGCGGAGGCCGCCACACACATACTCCCGTTCCGTTTGTGTTGGGTTACTGAACGGAAGCTCAAACTCGCTCACGAGAGCGGCATTGCCGTCCATGTTGACAGTTTCGGCGAGACTACCGTGCCACCGCGCTGCTATAATCCACCGCGGTAACCAGAATCTCGACCTCCTAAATACTACCGATACCGACTATTCACACTTGACGTCACTACTACGTCACCTCCGTTTTTGGAGGCCCAGAAACGAGAATGGAGATTGTTCAGTTTCGTTTTTTTTACTTCTTTCGTAGGCACAGAAATACGCGTCACAAATGGCTACAAAAAATTGGGCAGCATGCTATGTTCCCAAGAAGCATAAAAACACCATTTAAAAAAAATTAAATAGGACCGTCTTCATTGTCCCTTTAACCACTTGGCCACGACTGCGGGACGGGTAGGGGGCTCCGAGATGTGGTAGTAACTCAAGAGCTGGGGATGTCATGGATGAAACGTTGCATGTAGCCGCTCAACGTCTATACAGGAGAGGGCGCTGCGGTCAAATGTGTATATAATCACAATAAACTTTGCATGCATTGGCTCAACATTTATAGACAAGAGGGCGCTGCGGTCGAATGCTCAAATGAGCAATAAAAAAAAATCAGCACCATCAGCACTACCTATCACCAAAATCAGTATCATCAGCACCACCAGAGCTTCGCCCCAATCAACATCATTCACCACGAGGAGATGCGGTTATTTTTTCTTTGAATTTCTCCTGACCACATGAAAGATGACATGTGACAATGTGCATGTTTATTTGCTTCCGACTTTCAAATCATTTGTAAATATTTTTTTAATGCATCACAATTCACTATAAAGTGGGGGGTACTTCTGCCACACCAGCCATGTTGCTGTGGGAGGGACTAACAGTTCATGGTGAAAAGAGAGGATATTGAGAAAGAGGCAGAAGCAAGAGTTTGCCTTGCGGAAGCTAGGCCCACGATGGCATATTGTTCCTATGCTCTCGACGAATTTTGACAAATCTGCGATTGCATATGCATTCGTGCCTTGGTGCTCATACAAGTATGTAGTACCTCCACACCACAGAACCAACATGGTGAGGCAGACAATGCAACAACATTTTAAACAAGCTTCCAAAACGTACACTAGGTGCAACTTCTCAATAATTGATCTCGTTTTGAATTTTCCCCTTGTTTTCAATAGAGGAATTGGCCATGTCCTTACTTTATTCCATTATTAATCAAACATGGACGTGCGGAAGTTTTTTTGTTTTTTTTTTTCAGTTTCTGATTTTAATTTTTATTTTAGATAGCATGAACATAATTTTCAGGAAGTACAAACCTGCACACAAATCGTTATTGTATGACTCAAATCCTAGTCGCATAACATTATTGATTCATAATTACTTAATGTGAATTGCAGGTTGTCACAGTGTTACACAAAATTGGAAAACAAATGCATATTTTTTTAAAGCATGCGAGATGTGGCACCAAAGGTGGTTGACTTACCGCAAGGCCATGCCACAGGAGTTCTCTATTCATGAAATCAAACTGCACCTGAAAAACATGAGATTTGCGAACAGTAACTCAGAACAAACAGTGAACCAGAGGAAGATTTTCAACTAACTTAATTATCAGAATCTGCTGAAGTGCTGACTGAAATAATACAGATGCACACCAATGTGAACATGGCAGTTAATAGTCCATTACCTTTTTGTTAAGCACTGTTTTCTGTGTGAGTTAAAGTCAAAGTAGAACTAGGATTGCAAAGGGCATTCTCTCTCGTCTTGCATGGCAACGAACTCACTGCTGCCATATATTAAATATCACTACTGCACTCGCAGCCTACGTGTGTTTCCTGTTTTTCTTTCCTGCATCATGTGCATGGGATTTTTTTTTTAAGAATCCTAGAACTTTTCTACCTACCGTAAAATCCCGAGAGATGCTTTACCCCCGAAAGATGGCTTACCCCAGTTTTGACTTGATTTGCTATTTTTTTTGAAACACCGAAAGATAGCCGACCTTTTGTAATAGTAGTGTTGGGATGAATGATGGCCTCGGCGTAAATGTGGCTAGTTAGCTATGGTGGGATATAAGCAAATGTTGCTGACTGGGAAGTACAGTCATCTTTGCTTCGTTGCCCCTTGCCACCATAACAAGCTTGGAAGGGATATGACCTACAAATAACAATTTTTCAAACTTTTCTTGATTGTGTACCGACCGTTAGCCCACTCCATATTTTAATCCGATTTGCTCTTGATGTTAGGTGGGCTATCTGTCGGGATTTTTCGGTATGCATTTCTTAAAGAAACCTTATAAATTAAATTTCAAAAATTCTGCAAAACAAGTGGCACAGTAGACTGGAAGCGTTTCGGAGATATTTCCACATAGTGGAAAGTTGTTGGTTGTGTCGTCTTCGTCCTACGTGTTTATTAATGCAAAAGCATTAACTATCTCAGGAAGCGGAGCTGGCAATGTCTGTAACCACAGAAAAATGCAAAAGGAATGCCCATCCTCCCATTGGCTGAGCAAAACGGCTCCTAGATAGCCATTGGCAACTGCTTCAAGAGGGCGCGTGCTTGGCCGCTGCTCTCGTGTCAGACGCGCTCGGTGTCCGTGGAATTTTTTCTTTCTTCAATCTTGACCTGCACCACCACGCTCTTCGTCCATTAATTTCTACATAGGCATCTATGCATTTAGACTCGCATAAAAAAGTCCGGTTAGCCAAGTTGGAGCGGGTTATGATGCCTCCATCTGTCTTACACAATGGTGTTGGGTACAGTCATAATGTTTACAGGTAGCCAAGTGGGGACTCGGCACCCGAGGCAGGTTGGAAATCATAATGATGGAATCATTATGCAATCATAATCATAATGGAAATCAATCTCCATATTTCCAATCACCTTATGCAAAACATTTGCGGTGATGTGATTGATCCGAGTAATTTTGGAGAAGCACTTGGAAACAGCAAAAAGAGCTTTTGGAGCATGAGCACACATTCATGTTTACTCCTACCAATGCAAACATTATGTCAATATTAACGTGTCGGCCTGTCCAACTAAAAAGCAATGTCTGTTTTGCCCTCTTAGTTACATGCAACCCTTTGTTTGCATCAGCTAGACAGCAGTAGCGGTTCCCTCAAACACAAAACTAGCCTTTTGTTGCGTGGAGAAGAATCAGACATGGTGACAAAAACGTGACTGATGAAGGACAGTACAAACTGCTGTGAATGGTCTTTTTGGGTACTGAATCCCCTCTGAATACAATAATATTCAGCACATAAATAAATGTTTCCTTCAAGTTTGAGAGCTTGCATAAAACTGCAATTCATCACTGCTCCTGAAAATTGAGTTCTAATTTACTCACATCTACAGTAATCCGCCATTGTAACAAAGTAGACGGGACGGCAAAAAAATTCAGTACAGGCGTGGTAATTCGATTAATTCGTAATTCGAGCCAAAAAAACAGTGCCAGCGGCCTTGAAGATGGACGGGAACACTACGGGACACTCTGACCATATATTTAATGAAATAAACCTTGGTTATGAACATTCCGCAGCAGCTTTGCCGAGTAACAAAATAATTAGGTGGAGTTTGCCGATAATTTAATCCGAGCATCAGTTCCCCTCGAACTGCTCCAGGCATCGCAGGAACACAGTCACCGCCGCTGCACTCCACCTTGTTTTGAAGCAGCCGTACGATGTTTCACGTCTCCGCAGTCGTCGGCGTTTCCCCGGTGCCTCTCCGACGTTGCTTCGTGTTTACCCTGACCGCACGGAAGGTCTACGATTGTAGCAACCGTGGCAGAAGCAACAATGGGAATGTCTGCATCGACAAGCGCAAACGAATCAAAGTTATCCTCGCTGGCTTTGCCAACATGTTATTCCAAGCTCCTGTAGATTGCTGCAGCTCTGGGAATTGTGCGTTGGCTCAGCAAGCATGCTTGCGAGAAAAAATTCGACGGTCGCAAAGCAGTCGGCGATCTTTTATCTTCGAGTCGCGGGCACGCTTTCTCTTGCATGAGAAACTTCTCGGACCTGCCCAATACCTTGCTTGTTCTGCAAAATGATGGAAAGTGTAGAACAGCCAATGCCAGAATGTTGAATTCTTTGGCGCTTTCGGACTTGGGCCAGCCACTTTTCTCAAGCTCGCATATCTAAGCGACTTTAAGCAAACATTCCCTATCTCCCATACGATACATGTGTGCGTGTAGTACGCCGCAGGCGCACGCGTCGGGCAGCGTTGGCCGCAGGCGCCATGAGTAGCATCGGAACGTGGATGCTGCTCCCTGCCCACATCGGCATTGGAAGCGGCGCTCTGTGCGCTCTGCCCTCCGTCACCCGTTTACTCCAATTTCTGGTTTGCCGTTTTCCCAGTTTGCCATTTGCCTTGGTGGAGAAGGGGGAGGGAACGCAAGGGTCTCTGTGCGCCCCCGTGTAGGCTTGCATGCTTTCGGCAACGCGATCTTCGTAATATGCATGGTTGCCCGCCGATACACTTAGAATAGTCCGGCTAAAAATGTGTGCATTTTGGACAGGACCATGTTAAATTTCGATGAAAGCGATAATTTAAAAAAAAGTAATTTCTTTATAACGAGGAATTACTGGATATAAAAGTGATAGCAATTGAGTTGGCTTAATAATTAAAAATACAGAATAGTGCATATAAAAGTTTCGTGCAATAGTCAAGCTATCCTTACTAAATTTCAAACTAAAAAAAGATACCGGAAGGTTATCGCAGCAAATCATATATACAAGCCGAAGTTGTATTCAGGAATTGTGGAGCGCACTCTGGAGAAGCGCTTTCCCCCTTTGCATGCAGTTACGCTGCGGCAAAGCAAGACACTCAAAATCACAGTGCCTACTCTGCGATTTTCGCTACTCTGCAGTGCACAAGCGCGCGGCAAGAAGTGCACTCAACGAGACTAACTAACCCTCCAGCAGAACAGACGACGAACGTGAGACTTATTGTGAAACTTACACGAGTACTGTTAAGAGTGTCTTTCATACGATATGCGATCGAAAAGTATGTTATTTGAGACAATATTCAAGAGGTGAAAACTCGCATAAGCATATTGCAACCGTCCAGCCGAGCAGCTAGGCCTGAGCTATTATATTTTCAATATTCTGGCTCAACTTCTTGTTCTTGTGCATGATAGCAATGCACCGAGGCAATTGTGGCAAATGGGAAGACTGTTGAAGACTCACAGAAGAAGAGACGGTAACATACGGTCCTGCCAGGTAAAACTGCCAAATGGATTGATCACCGACGGCCAGTCCAACGCCTTTATCCACTGGAAGTCAGCACCTGACTCATTTTGCAGTCGGGATAGTGTTAAAAACATATCAAACTGGTCGAGTACCAGCGAAGAACAGTTGAGCAGCAGAATGGCAAGCCTCCAATGAGATCGGGGCCTGCGCTCGTGGACGGCGAGCGTGGAGCTCATTCCCTTTTTTTTTATTACCATTTTTTTTATCGCATTAAACGCATCTCGGGAATTAAAGCTCTTCAGCTTTGTGAAGGTGTCGCTGTTCCTGGGTCTTCATATCAACAATTTGGTGCCGGAACCCGGGATGGGAGCAACGTGTCTTGTGCCCCGGATGAGCACGAGACACGTTGGCGCAACTCCGAGAACGATTTTGGATTATAGGAGGAAGATGATTGGTGAAGAAAGTGGTCTTCAGCTGCTGTTTATGCAAAATCTACGCCTACGACATCAAAGGGCACGCCTTGCTTCAGTCGGTCAAGGGGAAGTGGAGCCATTGGGGCTGTGTCAGCCATGAGGCGAAAGCTCTTGCATAAACAGCAGCCGAAGACCACTTTCTTTACCAATTTTCTTCCTCCTATAATCCAAAATCGTTCTCGAAGTTGCGCCAACGTGTGTCGTGCTCCTCTGCGAAGAACCTTCCAGAGGGCATTTTGTACCACCAGGGTTGTGAAGTAGTGCTCACTTGGCAATATAATTGAATGTTTCACATTGTCCGATGCTGGCAGCATCTGAAGCTGGCCTCCAACCAAGATGATATTGTCTTTATCCAAAAATGGACTCATCTATGCTAGAGACGATTGTTTGTGAACATTTTCTTTCTTCATAGGATATTTTATCTCGTCTGAGTAAGTACTGTTCTGAACGCTGTTGATCCAGCATAGTTTGAGTTTGGCCCCAGTGGTTTCCTCGGCCCTCTTGACAGTTTGCCATTTCGATGGTTCTTCAGAAATCGAAGACACCACGCCGTCACTCTTAAAGCCCAATGAAGTTTGCTGTACCTCGTCAGATCCAACAGCAGTCCAGGTGGTGCTGTTTGCAAGATCACATGGACTGCTTTTCTCTCTTCTTTCAACGAGTCATTCTCCTCGTTGTCACTCGACCTCAGATCAGGCCATTCATTTTCGTGTTCAGTCAACCACTTTCGTCCTGACCACCATAAATCACTCGACACCAGTCGAGAACCTGCGATGCCACTAGGGTGACCACCTTCCTGCCGGTGGAATGCGGAACACCTTGACCGGGGGGGGGGGGAGTAAGAGGAGGAATTCACCAACGCGCACACCCCGAAA